GGGTCATCGAGGGACTATGATCTTTTGATTTTATGGGTCTTTACTAAAGTGTTCCTGTCTCATGACTGTTTTTTAAAGGCAACCAAAGTGGGCGTACCTTAGAGGTGTATATGTGCAAGTGTGTTATGTTTAATTATTTTTTTTGTCTTTTTATTAAGTTTGATAACTTTTGATTATTAGTCTTTTCATACACGCCTAGTTACTAGCAGTTAATATGAAAAGCAGTAAAAAAAAGCAGAAAATAGAGGTCATACGCTATTACAACCAAATCGAAAGACAAGTAAAAAGTAAAAATAAAGAAGAGAAAAAACTTCTTCGATCCATGCCATGGACTCCTTCGATTCACCCTTCTTTGGCCTTCTTTCGATTGAGCTAGGGAATGGGTGTGAGTAACCTTCGATTGGGCTTGAGAATTGACGGGACAAGCTTCGATTTGCACCCTTTCCTGCCTCCTTCGATTGGGTTTGGGAAGGATATGGGTAAACTTCGATTGTAGGGAGAAAGGGGAGGCTTCGATTCAGAGGAAGAAGGTTGCCTTTCGATTCTATGAAGGGTGTTACTGGAAAGGCCTGAAGGATCACCTGTGGAGGCACTGCATCTGTAAAAATATGTTAGCGAAATAAAACGCAGGACCTGGGTATCGAAACCCAAATCCTTCGATCCTGCGCGCTGGGTCTTTTCAGGCTATACTTGCAGCAAGTGTTAGCAACAAAACAAATGTAGACCTGGGTGTCGAACCCAGGTCCTTCGATTCCCTCTCTAATTCGGATCTGAAGTTATTTCGTCCTGCAATACCAAGAATCCTGAGATTTGAAAGAAGATATAGATCGTGCCCTAGCAATGGCACGATCTCCTCCCTGCACTTAAACTTGTATATAACACATTGAAACAATCACAAACGTCAACAATAACATGCATGTAATGATTAATATGGATTTAAAAGAAACTGCATATTTAGCTAATTTGAGATCGAATAGATTACCAAGCGGAGGGAGCGTGTGTTGGATCTTCCTAGTGCTTGGAAACGTCTCCTGGAACCTGATGAAGATTTTGAGATTTTGGGGAGCTTCGATGGGCAATCTGTATGTGTGTGATGCAATACGTGTGATCTCTCCTCTTTTTCGTCTCCCCTGGCACTGTGTCCTTGGCCTTGTATTTATAGGAGTGTAATGGTGCATAGTAACGGCAAGAGACAACCATATAACTAGGCTTTTAAAGTTATGAGACAAGAATCAGACATATTAAAATATCTCTTTTTTGAAATATTCATGCCCCTTTTGAAATCTTGGATGAACTTGGACATTTGACTCCTTCGAACGCCCTCTAGCGTTGCTCTTCGATTGGCCTATCGTTACCTCCTTCGAATGGCTTTCTTTCAGCTCAAACCAATCGAAACATCAACTCTCCCTTTTAACTGGTCGAAGGTTGCTTCAGTTCTCTATCAATCAAAGGCTTTGAACTTGATTCGAATGGATCATATTCTCAGCATCAGAGTTTCTTCGATTAGCCCCTAAACATTATTCTTCTTGATGGTGCTGAGTCCTGATTCGAATTGTTCAAGGCTCCCCTCAATAGAGCTTCTTCGCTTGAGCCATGGTTTTTATGGATTCGAATGGCCATCATCAGAGCTTCTGGAACCCTCTCAGTTCTTGCTCTTTTTGATCTTATTTTCTCTAACTTGGACAATCAGAATATCTCCCATTGATATGTCAATCGAAACATCACTTGGTTAACATGCCTGTCGAAAGGCACTTTGTACGCTCTAACGGAAAACAACCTTATTTAAGATGCCCGTCGAAGCTGCCTTGTTAGAAATGCCCATCGAAAGGCCATATACCAATCGAATGATCTTTTGCAGATGCCAATCGAAGGACCTTTTGCATATGTCAATCGAAGGACCTTTTGCAGATGCCAATCGAAGGACCTTCTCCATATGTCAATCGAAGGACCTTTTGCAGATGCCAATCGAAGGACCTTTTGCAGATGTCAATCAGAGGACCTTCTGCGGATGCCAATCGAAAGACCTTATGCAGATGTCAATCGAAGGACGTTTTGTAGATGTCAATCGAAGGATACTTAACTATTATTTGAAAAAAATTTCCTTTTCTTTAGGCAAAGGTTTGTAACAACCTATGTAAGAAGAAATCTTGGAAAAACATGAGAGGACAAATTTTGGGGTACAACAGTCGGTCTGTGATTCCTCGAGTCGCGGGCTTTGTTGGCTGCCTCTTTCTCCTCGTAGTCCATATAGGCTCTGGCTTTCTCGAGGAGGGCGTCGAAAGACCTGGGAGGCTCAATGTCGGCCGCCTTTCTGAATTCAGTGCTCGGGAGGAGTCTTCTCTCGAGCAAGTACCTCTTCATGTGATCGATGTATGAGACCTGAATGGCCTCGCGGTTGAACCGATCAATATATTCCCTAAGGGTCTCGTCGCTTCTCCGGACGATAGCCTAAAGGACGGCCTCAGTCTTTGGGTGTCGACGAGACGCTGTAAAGGAGCTGATGAACTGGTTCTTAAGGTTTCTCCAAGAAGTGATCGACCCTGGGGCGAGATTCTTGTACCAGTCCATTGCAGTTTTCCTCAAGGTCGTGGGGAACAATCGTCATTTGATCGGTCCCTCGACGTTGTGATAGTGGAGCATTGCCTCGAACCCGTCGATGTGGTCGGTAGGGTCTGTAATACCGTCATATTCCTTCAGTTGGGGAGGTTTCTCCATTCCCCTGGGAATGGGCGCCTCCATGATTGCTTGCGATAAAGGACCGCGGGGATCGTCTTCGTCGCTCCTGTAGGGATAGTGGGAAGGGGACCGGTTGTAATGGCAGTCGTAGTGATGGCCTTATCCTCGGGGAAGGTCCCTTGGCCGAGGTTGTGTTTCTCTGTTGCCCATGTTTCTATTTTCAGGAGATCGTCGTTCCCTGCGCGAGGGGTGAGGTTGCGTCTCCCGGTAGCTTCGGACAGTGTTCTCTTCAAAGCGGGGCGTCTGCCAGTCCGTCGGGGAGAGAGGCTACGCGACCTGTCCCGCATGTGTCTCCGCAAGGGGAGATCGAGGACGGTCTTTGTTCTGGCAGGGAGGGGGAGTATCAGGTCTCATGTGTCTTCTCGGAGATCGACGAGTCTGTTCGAGCGCTCTCGGTCGCTCGCCCTGCTAGAAGATCAAGTAGTTTGTTTGGTTGATGGCCGCGAACAACGCTCTGGTCGTGGCATCAGCGCCAGCAGGGACGAGGACCTCCTGGAAAGTGTTTGGTTCATAGCTCTGGGGGGCGTGGCCATCCTCATGCGGTCGAGAGTGGCATGAAGAGGCGGTCAGCTCGTCTCTATAGTTCTGCTCGAGACCGGCCATGTCGATGTCGTTCCCGACGTTGTTGTGATCAATGTTGTCGCCAACGTTGTTGTTGATGTCGACGAGGTGGACGTTTTAGTGGTTGTTGGCAGCTTGATCGGCCATGAAAATCAGAGTTTAATGGAAGGTTGCTTTAGTCTTGCGATGGAGACAGAGAAGCTAGATTCCCACAGACGGCGCCACTGATCGTACCTGACCAGAAGGAACTGTCAAGGCCTTCGAGCTTGGTGTCCAACAACGGTTTGATGTAAAGTGAAGGGGGTACTTGCAAGGCACTCTGATGCTAAAGTAAGATTTAGGGAGAGTGTTAGAAAGTATAAGAGTATGTGAGTTAAAGAATAAATACATGACCATCTCAAATGAAAGGGTATTTATAGCCTCCAGCGCTGGACCAAGGTCTTCAATGATTGGCCATGATAAAACTCAACAAGGAAGACTGTCAAGGTTTACGTGTGTATGGGGTCCAGCACATAGCCCATTCCCTGGTCAACTGTCCCGAGAAAGTAGGCATTGGATCCGTTATTCTCAAAGGATAGTATGATATGACAGTTTGGACACGTGGGCAACATCCTCTTAACAGACACATAGGAAAATGTCCAACGATCATTAATGTTAGATTATAGCTTTGGGCCTTTGATAGACACTGGGGCCTCCCCAACAATAAGGCAAGAGCTGACCCAATCCAGAACAAATTTAATTTTATTGGTGTGATGTCACCACGAATAAATTACCCCCAATTTATTACAATAAATAAATAAAAAAGACCTACATTTTATTCCAACTCTAAATAATGAATTTCATAAAAACTACAATGGAGTTTATAACCATAATAATAACAATAAACAGTTAAACAATCAATTTCTCACAGTTCTTATAAGATAGTATCAGATAACAGTCCCATCCAAATATCTATCTAAAAGGGACATGACAATTTCATAAAATTTAATATTTTCATTCGAGAACATTGCAGTGTCTTACATATGAACATTTTTTTGGCAATTACAGCAATTTATTAAACAAATCTTCATAGACAACAAGATGAGTATCCGTCAATAGAATTGATCGTCACCAATTGATTGTCTGGCAAAGTAAAATTTTAGAAAAATGGTTCATTCATGGTTTGATTTTAGCCAATAGTTTTAGGAAGAAAAAAAGATATGCACCACATTCAAATGAAAAGTAATTGCATTTAAGAGACATCAGATAAACTGTAACAATATATTATGCAAAACATCAATTAAACATTTTTAAGCATTGCTACAAGAACTTAAGTCAAACCGCATTTCTATGATTTACAAGCATGAGCTCATTGCATTTAATGTCAAGATTAAGCAACAAACAACCCGCCACAGATTAACAATGACAAATGGAAAATACTTAACTCATAAAGCAATGAAGACAATTGAGCGATTTTAAAAATCAGTTAAATCAATGAAAAGTTGATAAAACAAGTGCTTCTAAAATCTCAAACATCGTAACAGCACAACCAAAAACAGATAGATTTCTTCTTTACCGTGCTCTAGTTTGTAGATCTGATCTCAAACAAAAATTATTGGATAAATCCTTCAAAAAAGTTTTGGATATGATAATAAACAAAACAATGGAATAGGAGATCTAATCCAACCAAAACAGTAAATTGTATTTATGGAAGACCTCAAATTTCAAATGACTCTCCTGAGTTCTCCAGTATTCAGTGCGTATTGCCGATGCTGGGACAAGATTGGTGCCACCTGAACTGCCGCTAATATTGAAACCAAGTCATCAGAAGTCAGTTCCTTATGATTATTAGCTGCATGCAGAACTGTTTGCAAGATTTGCAGAGGATCCCCGTGGCTGACAATCAAAATTGCACATCTGCAGGATATGAAACATACCAAAATTAAATTATTGGACCCCGTGGACTGGATCGCAAGTCGAAATAATAAATTAACTATTTGAAATTTTGAATAATGTAAATCGTGTGCTAGAAAAATAAGAGTACTACAAGACGTTCAAATGATATTTAAGGAAGATATCAGTACCCTTCAAATTCTGATTCAATAACGTCCATTGTTCTTGAAAGCCTACCAGCAACATCCTTAACGCTTTCACCTCCTTCTGGCCCAACAAAAGGATCTTTCGCATCTAATTCCCAAATCTCTGCATACTGTCAATGAATGGAAGGAGAAAATCAGTAAAGTTGGTTTTAGCATACTCCTAAATGGACTTGATCAGAATCTGACTAACGTTGTGTATCAAGATAACGGTTGCATCGTGAACTCGTGATCATTGATATTACAGTTAAATCTAAACAATGTGTTATTTACCATCATCACCTACTTTATCATGAGATAAAAGCTCAAAGGAAGGACCAAAATACCGCTCTCGAAGATCATCGATCACCTGCGTAAACAAATAGATGCAAGCAAGTAGTGAAGTTTTTTCTATTAGAACAGACAAGGGTATTTCAGTAAAATTTTCAGACTCTCTGACCTTACACTGAGATGCTGCATCAAATTCAAAAGGAATGTTCAATTCAGTAGCAACAACTTTTGCGGTATGACTTGTTCTTGAAAAAGGGGAGTAACATATGCGCACATTAGCAAGAGGTATATTATTAGTCTCTAGTTCCTGACGAATGTGAAATAGTTAGGTTAAAATTGAAAACATTGTAATAATAATCAAATAAAATTAAAAGTACCTTTCGAAATGAAATTCCAGCGAGCTGTGCTTGATTAACTCCGTCAGAGGCTAATTGAAATTCAGGACGCGTGCCATTTTCCTGTTATTTGATTAAAGTAATCAAAACTGAATCACATAAACATGATTAATTACAGTAATCAAAATTGAAAAGATGGGTTGATTAGTTACGATAGAGGAAACAATGATGCCTTGTTCGTTGGGAATGCTCTTGCCATGTCTCAGAATCCAATATTTGTTTTTCAATACCAAAGACATTCTTGTTTTCAATTATTTCTCCCTTTCCCTTTCTCCTCTTCTATTCTACTAGTGTGCTTGTACTCTACCTCAGAATTCACTCCAATTATATTAAATACTTCATTTTCTTTTAAAAATTTAATTGGAATTCGTGACAGTTAATTTGTTAAAAATATTTAATTTTGTAAACTAGCATTACACCATCATCCAATAAAATTATAATAATTTATCATGTCATATTAGTTTTTTTTAATTAAAAGTGTAATTTAGTTAAATACACGCCTTTGATTGATTGATATTGTAAAAATATTTTACACTGTCAGTGTATATTCTTTTTTCTCTTTTTTAAAATATTATAATTGAATTGTTGTGATGTACTGATAGTGTAAAAAGTTTTACACTAACAATACATAGTAATTAAACTATTCTTTTAATTAACTAAAAAGTTTAATAATCTTTATCTTAAGTTCTACTACTAAAAATGAGTAGACGCACATCAAATATATAGCCATAATAGTAAAGAATTGACCAAACCTATTAAAACACTCCTTGCCCAAAAAAAATCTAAAGATAAAAGGACATTTTTGTAATCAACAAAATGACTTCCAACTTTATGTCACGCTCACTCTCCATGTGTCAAGTGTTACTAAGTCATTTGTCCAATTTTCTTTTTCCAAATTAAAATGCATTATTTCCTTTCAACCCAACCTTACACACAACTCATACACCTTATTTTTCTCATAACATTGTCTTTCCTCTCTCTCATGTAGACTCTCTTCTCTCTCTTTTTCCCTCAAACCCTAAAATTCCACCACCGACAACAACAAGTTTTCCCCTATCTCTTCCATTTTCTCCTTTTTCCTTCTCTCATTTTCAAAACGCGTGAAAGATAAAGAGGGTTTCAGAAACCCCTCTGTTTCTTCGGCCACCACTGATATCGATTCATCAACAATATCAGGTATCTTACACATTTAATTCGGTGTTAGTGAGAAATTTAAGTTTTTTTCATTATTTATTTTACTACTTATAATGGATCTTTTCTCTGTAGATTCATTTTTAGCGTCAACCTAATGTGTATCATATGTTGTGAGATGACGAAGTTGCGATGACGACAAATATGTTTGTTGATTCTCGCAGTAGTGGAAAAAAAATAAGGTTTATGGTTTGATTTCTTATCATTATATTTTTTCTTTGTTTTTCAATCTTTTATTTCTCCTCCTTGAGATTCTCTGTTTTTGATGGATCAATGTTAGTGTTGGTTTTTTACAGATTTGGATACTTGGTTTTTGATGTTTCTGCAATATTATTGCATAAGAAGCTCTTAGTGGAAAGAAATCTGCATTACTTTTGCAATATTTTTACAGATCTGGATACTTGGTTTTTTTCAGGTTATCTTGCTTCAATACTACATATAGAAAACACAATCAAGATTTTCATAACGAAAACACAATCAACATTTTGATCATAACTCCCTTCCGGTAGGTGTGTTGTTTGATCATCACTTCAAACCATAAATCACTACCCCACCATCTCAAACTCCCTCCCGATAGGGGCATTGTTTGATCATAACTCTGTGTCTCTTTTAATTACTTTTTTTGAACAAAAGAAATTTTGGTTTTTTGATCTATAAAATACTTGTCATTGATTAGAGTTTTATTTGCTAAAATCCATGTTGACAAATTTTAGATGCTTGAAGAAGGAATGTACATGTTGTCGTGGCTGCTATTGAATTACTTAACAAAAAATATTTCCATGCCAATGTAATTGGAGTTTATATAGCCGAGTCAAAAAACAAGGATGAACAGACTTATAATTCAATAGCAGGTCCATTTATTACTGATGATGTTGTTGGACCAGAAGAAACTGAAAGTGATGTGAATGGTGTTAATGGAGGATGTATAGGTCAAACTAACATTATATCCCTTAGTTTTCCTTTATTTCTTTGTTCAGTGTTCATCAATGTTAATGTAAGACCAAAGCACAACCTAAGGCACAATACTCTCTACCAATAAATATTTGAGAAGCTTTAGCAAGATTCTTTGTAAACACGACTTTGGTCATGTTTGAAGTGATGTATTTGTGTTTATCTCTTGACATAAGTGTTTGTGACACTGTTTGAGAAAGTTTACATTATCACTTTAAGATATCTCCATAAGTTGTTTTCAACTTACTTCCGTAAAAGGGAAAGTGAGATCAATGATTCTTCATATATCCTGAATTTTATGTGAATTGAAACTTTATTTCCCAAAAATTTTAAGGTGGATTTATTGTTATTGTTGCCTGCTGATTTTACAAAGAAGCTTGCTTAAGAGGAGCTTTTTCAGCCCAACATATGGACTCTAGCATGTAATGGATTCTATAAAACCCCGAATTCTAGATTAATTATTTAATTAATTTAGCGTGAATATATGAGTCAGTGCAAAGTATTTGATATATATATATATATATATATATATATATATATATATATATATATATATATATATATATATATATATATATATATATATATATATATATATATATATATATATATATATATATATGATATTTTGGTGTTTTTATGTGAGTCTTTGTGATGATTTATGATGATGAGATGAATATGATGATTAATATAATGTTTGATGTGATGGTATGTGCGGTGTAGTGGGAATTAAGATGATTAAAAGAATTTTTAATAATTTAGAATAATTCGAATAATTAGTTAGAATTATTTTAATTAGATAATTAGAAATAAAATATGAGGTAGAAACTATGAGGACATGGTGGTCATTTGGGAAGAATAAGTGAGGACAATAGTAGAAGACCAATTAAGGGTCCAAGGATTAAGTGAGACAAAAGATATTTGGGATTTTAGAAGCGCTCATTTTGTATGATAGTTTTGGGAGAAAAGACAGAGGCAGAACTAGGGCACAAAGAGGCAAGAAGAAGCATAGGAATTTCGGTAAAGCACGAAGAATATTTGATTGCTAGCAATAATCTAAGGTAAGGGGGAGTTTTATCTTGATTATTATAATCTATCTAAGGTCTAGATAAATGTAGGATGTATTGGGTTTTGGTGATTGTGTTGCAATTGATGAATTTGTGTTGGAATTTGTGAAAATACCTTGTTGAATTGCTATGAGTTTGTGTATATAATTCATATAATATTATATGGTTATTATATGATGATTATGTGTGGAAATCTATGAGGATTGGAATTGTTGTTGTGCAAAATCACAAGAATTGAAACTGGTTTTTATGTAGGAAATTGCAACAGGAAAACCCTATTCGAGGCAGGATCGTCGGGCGACGGGAAGTGTCGTCGGGCGATGGTGGTGTCGTATGGCCGTCGCTAGGCGAAACGCAAAGTGATGAAGGGCGGAGAAGATGAATGTTACTGGAGTGCGTCGCTCTAAGCGTCATCGGATAGAGCGAACGCGAAGGTGCTTCGCCAGGCGATGAAGTGGTGTCGTCGAGCGATGGTGTCTAGAATGGAATGGTTGTGCGGGATTTTCAAGAGGCCATAACTTGAGTCGTAGAACTCGCTTTGAGGTGTCGTTCGAAGCGTTAGATAGCTAACACATTGAACTTTAATTAGATGGAATAAAAGGAGAAATAATAAGTATATTCCTAACACCTAAGTTAGAGTGAAGTTAAGTTTCCCGTGTTGGATTATGATGATGTTGTGATGATGTTTTGTTTATTATGATGTTATGATGATGTTTTGTTCATTATGACGATATGACGATGTTGTGATGATGTTTTTTTTATTATGATGATATGACTATGTTGTGATTAGGTTTTGTTTATTATGATGATATGATGTGTTTTTACTAGTTGTGGTCGTATTTATTGTGTTGTTACGCATCATGCATTCATGGTATAGTTTAGGAATTTTGTCCAGTGATGTTGTTAGGACTTCGGTCCAGTGAAGATGATAAGATAATAGTCCAGTGAAGGCATTAATCCCATAGTGTGGATTGAGTGCAAAATTGTGAAGTGCTCTCGTTCCAAGTGGGAATCAATCCTATTGGTGGGAATCTTTGGAGATAACGATGATTGATTCATCAGTGAATTTTTGGTACCACATGCATAAGTCTATGATGTTTCATTACATTATAAGTGACATTGCATAATGATGTTGGTTGACAATTAGTGTTTTGATGATGTGTTATTATATATTGATGATGTTGTGAAGGCGTGAGTATAACATAAGGTTCTGCTGATGTGTGATGCCTTGCCTAAGAGCATGTCTACTATATTTATTCCTTATGTCTTTTATAATGATTATTATTTACTCACCCTTTTTGCTTGGAAATGTTGCCTCTATCTGTGGGTAACTTGCAGGTGATCAGGAATAACTCGTAGAAGTTTAAAGGATAGCTCCAGAGTGTGTTTATTTGCTTTTCGTTGAATAAATGGAGTCTTGCTCTGATATGTAACATCGGGGTTGGGATCGATTGGTTGTGAACCATGAATTATTTTGTTATCTTGATATTTTGTATTACTTTCATGATTTTTGCCATGTTTCGGATTATGATGTTATAAACATGAAGTATGATGATTTTAGTAACATTTGAACTACCTTTCATGGTATTGAGATTATTTTATGAAGGAGTTTAAGACTCATTATTTCCGCTTCGAAGTTTGAAATGAAATGATTGTGAATACCAAGGATTATATTTAAGTTTTAAAATGTTGTTGCAACCCGTGTTACGGAGCGAGATTATTTGTTATATGATGCTTATGTGAAGATGTGACATCCTCGCTGTTGTTTTACGTTTATTTATTTATTAAAAAATATTCGTGAAAATCATGGGGTTTTAGAAGGGTGTTACATTATTGGTATCAGAGCAGGTCGGTCTGTCCGGCCAGGTTGTTGAGTCTGTAGTGTATGACAGTGGAATATTGTCGAGATAGTTTCTAACCATTGTAACTGTTATTAACATGAAACAAATAAATGGCTGGAAGGAACAGTGTTGTGGTTGTTGCTGCTTTGCAAGTTATGGCTTAGGTTATGCAATATCAGCCTAATGCTA